TGAAGAATGCACGTGCATGATTAAATCATTTACTTGTATGGACCCTTACGCTGAATAAGACATAGTAGATTAGAGTAACGTCAACTTGTTGGTTGTAAGCACGTTCAAAAAATGTCGACTGTACAGATGAAAGTTCGTGCATCTGATTGAAGTTATGTGCCCGTTGTAGAATGCTCGTGAATGCATTAAGTCATTTACGCCCTTGTGTAAAGACCATTGTGCTGGGTAACGCATAAATTAGAATAACGTTAACTTCTTAGTTGTAAGCACGTTCAAAAAGTGTCGACTGTAAAGATGAAAGTTTGTGCGACTAAATGAAGCTGTTATGTGATCGTTGAAGAATGCCTGTGAATGCATTAANCACACAATTTGTCGAATAAATAGAAGGTTCAATTTAAGAACAATGAAAGAATATTCAAACTACATTCATGTTTGGTAAGGTCTATCGTACAAAGACATATAAATTCGTTATTGCTATGCTAATTTTCCTTTCAGAAACGTTCGCTACAGCCGATCGATCGTTACAGATTTCGTTATAATCAAGTAACACGTGTTAAAATGGAATATAATTTTATTCTTTAAATTTCGTTCGTTAAAACCAAACGCCATAATCGAGTTTAATTATACTATATAAAATTTACATTAGTGGCGAGTTGAGAGCCCAATAGAGGAATATTCTATTACATGCAATCATCAAAGGGTGGTATTATCTTCTGAAAATACGACGTGGTGTAGGAAAATTAATTTGGCCATCTTTTCATGTAGATGATAAAGTAATATACTTATAAGTCCAATAAATTACTTTGAGGGATTTCACACTTTGATTAAAAGGTTTTGCAAGTTCGGTTAGGGCAGAGCCGGGCAAACTCGTGCTCCTCAAGTAACAGGTCAATTGAAAAGTCCCCGGCCTAAAATAGTAAAACACATTTTTTTTGCAAAATTCGTTTTTTTTATTCAACATAATTCCCTTCAAGGGTGATACACTGATTATAGCGATCCTCCAACTTTTCGATACCATTTTTGTAGNATGAAAGTTCCTGCGTCTAAATGGCGTTTTAAATGCGCGTTGAAGAATGCACGTGCATGATTAAATCATTTACTTGTATGGACCCTTACGATGAAAAACGTCAAGTTATTGGTTGTAGGTACGGTCATAAATGTCGAACTACAGATGAAGGTTCCTGCGTGTTTATGACGTTAATTGAATGCGTGTTGATGAATGCGCATACATACATGTGTTAATAATTTATGTCCATGCTACTGGGCCACAAAAAGTGTATTTCCATAAAAATAAAACATTTCATGTACCCAACCATCGCTTTCTTAAACGGAATTGAGGTTAATTTAAATTGAAAGGAATAAAAGGTTGCGCCTTCTTTACGAGAAACAGTAAATCACCTGCTTTAATACACAATCTAAATTTGATTAATACCTTGTGCTTTCTTCGTTCGTCCGGTCGATGTTTTAGAATGATTGATCGTTGAAAAGGAATACCTTATACAATGTGGATTACAGTAGCTTATTAAACCTGTTAAACATTAAACAAATAAATTATCAAACTAATTGAATGACCATCTATACTACTATTAATGGAACATACAACTACGTTACTTGCAATTAGACTAAATAAACAAGAACTGGTTATTTTAAAAGAAAAGAAATAGGTTTAATGTTAAGAGGGGAGCAAATTAATGCTAAAAAGCATAATAGGGTCGTCAGTCCTAAGACTGGTTAGACACGTACCTCCACTCTTTCCTATCCTGAGCTAAACTTCGCATTTCCCTAAAACTAGAATATCCCACATCCTTAACTACTTGCGAACAGTAATCTAATTTAGGTCTACCTCTACCCCTCCTAACTCCTGTTTCTGGCTCTAATATGTCTCTGACTAGACCTTCATGCCTGAGATGATGTCTTACCAACCTATCTCGCCGATTTTTTATTGACTTCCATAGAGTCCTCTGTTCTCCTTTTCTTTGTAATACCTCTTCATTTCTAACCTTTTCTACCCACGTTATCCTCATCATCCGCCTATAACACCACATTTCGAAGGCTTCTAACCTTTTCTTATCCGCCGCGCCCACTGTCCATGTTTCGCACCCGTAAAACACCGTGCTCCAACCTTTTTCGAATTTCTAATTTAACCGTTCGGGAGCATAGAAGCGACTTCTTTTTATTAAAGGCGACACTACCCTGCGGTATCTTCTGCTTTATATCCTTCCTACTCCTTCCGTCCTGACTAATCTGACTTCCTAGATATCTAAAATCACCCACTTTTTCTAATTTTTCGTCTCCTATCTTTATATTCGCTCTTTCCCTACTTTTTCATCCCTTGCATACCAGTATGTTAGTTTTACTTTTATTTATTTTTATACAGAACTGATCTGTCAGTATCGCTTCAATTTTATTTAAAGCTATCTCTAGGTCCTCCTTGCTAATACTGCTATATTTAGTAGGTATTGAAACCATTTAATATTTATATTGTGTATATATATAACCCAAAGGTACGTGGATATTTACCATTCTCTAAAAGAGAATCAAATAACCAAAAGTATTACGTTTTCTACTGCTATTATATATTTAAACTTCAATAAAGTTGTCCCGACTAAGCGTAGGTACCTATAGAATAGCAACTCTAGGATACGATTAATATAGTTACTGTTGAGAGTTTTTTTTGCGAATTTAATGTCTTTGTATGATAGAGAAATTGATCTTTTACGTTTTTTGTAGCAGACCTTTGCTTAAGTAGTTTCTATCGATCTCTTCTTTTATTCCGTTTTTAAAAAGTTCTCTAAAGCTTATTTATTTAAGACCACTCGTTTGACCTTAATCTTTAGTGACTTTTTGTAATACGTTCAAGGTAAACCACTCTTTTTTTTATAAAAAATTAAACAAAAGGCTGCTTTTCATTTTGAGATTCTAAAGCTGATTCCAACAGGACAAATCTTGAATTATAATTAATGCATTTTTTATTCTTCATTCAGAACAGATGAATTTAAAACACTGTCTATCAACGTTAATTTACGTTACAGTTAGCAACACTATGCAAATTTGCTGTTTATTTGCTAAAGTCAATTAACGAATTGACAAAACATTAAAATTACAGACAATCAGTTTATTTTAGGAAGGAAAGTTCGGTATACCAAATTTAAAATTATATACCCTTTATTAATTAATCCATTATATTCCCTTATTTTACAATAAACAAATACCAGTCGTTTCATCAATATGATCCCTTTCTAAGAGGCAATTCTAATTTTCTTTTTGTAAATTTGATTTAAAACGCGCTGTGTTAAGGCAGCAGGTAGAGTTGGTATATGCTCTGTCGAAACTGTCTGCGACGCGCTGATGAGATCCAATAAGATCGAAATCGCGATCCGCGTCTGACAGTTTCAACAGAATACTGACCACTTCGAATTTATTTGTTCGATTTTAAATTTGATTTGTGAATAAATAAGATCATAAAACATCAGTCCTTAAATTCCCTCAATTTTACATTCGTAGCATCAAGTAAAGACCAAATGAGCACCTGTTACATTCAATATAATAATTCATTATTCTATATTATCGTGCATAAGTAGCTATATTAGTATTAAATTGTAAAACCACGAATCTATTCATTGCATGATTCCTTCCTTAAGTAGTAATACACCTTTGCAATCATCGAACTTTTATCCTTATACCTAAATTCGTTTTTGTTTATTATTACTTTCACCACCTCTCTGTTTTCAAATAGGTACTTCCACATTTAGTGAAAATATTAATTCATGTACCTACCTACCAGGTTTAAAATGCTTTTTATTATGTGATTGATTTTACTGGCCGCTCCCTTCATTTCCGCCATTATATTTCCTTACTTTATTGCTTTAGAGCACGTAAGACTACACTTTAGAATACATATAAGTATATATACATGTAATAATACTTCCACCTTTAAAATAGTTATCTAAAATCTTTACCTACGTAAATTCTGAAATACCTGGACTATTTTACTACTACAGAACACTCAAGTTCTTGCTCAATAATTCGCGATTTCGAACTTCATAGTTCTCATCGGCACGCCACAGGTACTTTTTCATCAATTACTGAACAAATCGAAACTGAAGAAAAATGATTTCATACTTCTCTAACTATAACTAGTTATGTTCGCGCTTCAGAAAACTCAAAAGAAAGTTTCAGCTATACCGTCAAACTTTTTCATTTTTATTTCGAAGACTTTGTTTCTACGTACATTGTATAACTCGAAAAGTCAACCGCTACCACCCTTACAAACAGTACAGGTACTTCGTTTGTGTTATCTTTTCCTACTGTAACTTTTTAAGGTCCTAATCTGACCCCTTTTTTGTTATTTTCCATAATATTATATTGAGTGCCGCAGTAAAAATGTATGGTGGTGATTAGTCCCTCTTAAAAACTCGAGCGATTATTGCGGTGACTAATCTCTCCGAAAAAAATCAATAAATATTCGTATTAAAGAAACAATTCACATATAATGTACAATCAAAAGGTACTGGAATCTCGAATTAGAGGAAAACTCGAGTTAGAGAAATAGAGTTACGAGTTTCAAATAAATGTAATACAATATTCAAGTTTTCGAGTTATACAATAAGTTCGAGTTACACAGTTACAGAGGGTCGATTGTACTGATAGGCATTTGCTACTGTTTGACAGAGGCCTTTACGAAGGCATTCGTAATATGTGTATTCCAAAATAATAAAGAACATTAAATTTAGCCAAATTTATACAGTCGTTTTTAATATCAACAAACAAATGCAGAAATAATACTTTCCAACCTTCAATTCCCAGCGTTTTAAACATTCAATTCAAACCAACCCCTACTGTTTACTTTGAAAGTAATTTTTCCAACTGCCTCTTATAACAGAACAAACGATTCATAATTGCAATCCGTGAAAAATGCAAATTTTCCGAGAAGATTTATGAAACTCCTCTGGTAGACAATAACAGACTACAGTAATCAACAGATTCATAAGCGCACTTACATTAGAAGCACTTCTCATTATTCCAGGAAGATAATTCTCCAAACGGTATCGTTTTACCTGGAACAAAAAACGTAAGTTAGAAAAGAAATGAATATATTACATACATATAGTTGAGTACTGAATACAACACTGCAATTTTACGTCTGTATTTTCCCAATTTGTTCATCTATACTATAAATATGTGACACATTTTCGTTTTCGTATTCTGCAAAAAAAATTACAAAAAAAGAATGAAAAATCAACTAAAGTTTTCGATCAGTTATAACTGTTCTATTTCGCTTTAAACTTCTGCTTTAAATTAAAATTATTTTTGTTAGTTTGAAACTTTTTGTCGTTGAAAAAGATAAGATAGTTGAATAAAGAGTCGGGCTATAGGGCCGTGGTCTAAGTGAACTCTTCTGTCCAGACGTTTCGTCAGCTACTGCGGCTGACATCCTCACTCGTAGTGCTGCGTTGACAACGTGAACGTAGATTATATCTCGAAGTCTCGACAGCGACCCACTTTCACGTTGTCAACGCAGTACTACCACTGAGGATGTCAGGCGTAGTAGCCGACGAAACGTCTGGACAGAATGGCTCACTTAGATCACGGCCCTATAGCCCGAATATTTATTCTACTATGGATTCCGGCCGTGAAAGCATTTGTTCTTATAAAGATAAGATAGTCATTTTTAAATGGACAAATTCAAATAACTAAGGAAAACTATCAATGTTCGCTACGAATATTTTGAGAATATATAGATGCTTCGTCAGTAACATTCAACTGTTATTGATTTCGCGTCGCAAAAGAAATTGATTGAACTAATAGTCTATGAGACAGATCCAAAAATTGAAACTGATTACCATCACCTGAAAGTTCGAGAGTGGCTTCATTATGCCGAGATCTACATTTTTACTATCTAAGAAAATCTACCTTGAAAAAAACATACAGATAAGTCAAAAATTCTAAAGGAAAAAAATCAGGAGGAAGAAAAAAGAAATTAGAATTCCAGTGTGAAAGAAAAATAATCGAAGAAGTTACAGAGTTCCGCTAACTAGGATTTGTACTGCAGAAAAAATCGGTTGTCTGTAAAGTCTGTTTACTGACGATATTGAACGTGACAACATCATAAGAAAATACTGATGGAATGGTTTCATTTTTCAAAAGAAAATTTTAATATTGTTTGTTTGATATATATTTTGTATGGATATAGAGAAGGAGGCAAATGGAAATGTATTATTGTATAGCAGCTGTCCACGCGGACGCATCGCTCACTCAAGTAGGAGAGAGACAGATGTCGAACGCTGCCGAACGCGGAGGCCGATTGTGCCTCTTTGTCGCTCGTTCCGCGTTCTCGCTTGCACTTCAAGCCTTAAATGGAACGCCTCAGAGCGAGGTAACGCCGCATGAGTCATGTTTTTTCGTGCGTGCAACCGGCTCCATCGAATTATAAGACGTTGTCACGTCAAAAACAATGGAGCAGGTGGACATATAAAAACAGGTACTGAGAAGAAGAAGAAGAGAAGAAAATATACAGGTTATATAAACTGGAACGAGAGACGCTTGAACATATTTTTGAATGATGTGGAATAACAGGAAATGGTATAAAAAAATGGGAAATTCAAATGGAAGAAATTGATGGTCTAGAAAGAATGAGAAAAATATTATGGAGGACGAAAATAGCAGAAAAGCGAGAAGAATAAAAATATTTAGTTTATAAAAGTCATAATGATACAATTGATATGTAAATGTACTTTGTATATATAAAACATAATGCTTTTAATAAACCTATCTATCTATCTATCTACCTTTATAACCCTTAATGCAGCCCTGTTTTTTGGAATAAAGTATTGTTTCTCTGTATATAGCCACACAATTTGTCGAATAAATAGAAGGTTCAATATAAGAACAAGGAAAGAATATTCAAACTACATTCATATTTGGTAGAGTCTATCGTACAAAGACATATAAATTCGTTATTGCTATGCTAATTTTCCTTTCAGAAACGTTCGCTACAGCCGATCGATCGTTACAGATTTCGTTATATTCAAGTACGAATAACACGTGTTAAAATGGAATATAATTTTATTCTTTAAATTTCGTTCGTTAAAACCAAACGCCATAATCGAGTTTAACTATACTATATAAAATTTACATTAGTGGCGAGTTGAGAGCCCAATAGAGGAATATTCTATTACATGCAATCATCTAAGGGTGGTATTATCTTTGGAAATACGATGTGGTATAGGAAAATTAATTTAGCCATCTTTTCATGTAGATGATAAAGTAATGTACTTATAAATCCAATAAATTGCTTTGAGGGGTTTCACACTTTGATTAAAAGGTTTTGCGAGTTCGGTTAGGGCAGAGCCTGGCAAACTCGTGCTCCTCAAGTATAGCCAAGGAGCTCCTCATTGCTCCTGCGAGTGCGAGTGAGATTATTCTTTCCTTTTCTTATCCCTTCCATTTCGTAGGTGAGTCCCCTCTTCCATAGCCGAACCTAATAGTATTGCGAACGTAGTCCGGCATGCTACCCCTGAGCTGCAGGACGATCATTAGGAAAGTTTCGTGGGTACTACATATTTAAGTTGGGAGAGAGGCTTCGCTCGTCTACGGGATTAAGGGGCTTAGTATGGGAGTGGAAGGGAGAAGAAAAAGAGAAAGCAATATGGGTTATTACTGCTTACTCTCTCGTACTCGTTGAAGGGTATGAAGTGACCCAAACTAACCTCATATAGCGGTTCCTACGAAGTTAAAGTTTGCCCGGCTCTGGGTTAGAGCAATTTACAGAGAATTAGGTGATATTCTGCTAGATGTGGTTGAAAAAATATATTCCACACAAAGAAAAAATGCCGACAAACAAATGTAAAATTTCCATGTTCGGTAAGCGTTCTGCCTTAACTGCAGGTATACACATGATTTGTCTATTGTTACTGGACATATTTTAGTAATATAAACAGCTTAATTCACGACGATATTTGTTTATTACAATATATAAGACTTAAAGGTCGATTTAAAAGCGGAAAAAAATTTGGATTCCCTAGCTGCTATAACTAGATAAGTAGTTTTAAATAATAAAAACGTATATGCTTGAGTCGACACATACAGTACAACGTTGTTTTGCTTTTGCCAGTGTAGCAAACGCCTGTCTGTACCCAAATCATCAATGTCGAATATCACCAGTTCAGTTTCGCAAAATGTGCCCAAGAGCCGCCAGAAACGCATGGGTCCCGCCCCTATCGCCTCCTTCGAGGATCTCTCAGATGAGGTGAGATCCAATGTACGTATCGTGCGCATGTTTTTCTCCATTTTTTCTATTACTTAATCTATGGACTATCTCTATTTCTAACGGTACTTTCGCTCTTAGAAATTCTTAATTGAATCAGCCAAGTTTTCGAATTTCGTATATGTACACAATGTTCTAGAAATTATATGCTCGTAATTGTTATACGTCATGTGCTTTCGAAAATCTTTACAAAGTGCTAGATTTGTCTTTTTTAAATTTCCACTTATGCTTACATTTTTTTATTAGATACAATTAAAAAAAATAATTTGTGTACCGTTACATATTATTGTAGATAATTACGATATCCAATTCAAGGTAATAAAAGAATGTATTGTTTTAGCTGGAAAGCCCAGACGACAAAAATTCCGCAGGTTCAGTTGTCAGACTGCCTGGTATACGAGAAGACGCCACGCCAATCACACCTTTACACCAGAAAGAAAATGAAAATCCAATATTAATCCTTCCAGGAATTAGTTTGATCGGAACCTCTCACGCTGTATCGAGTAACAAATCGGAAAAACAGAATCAAGAGGGTAATAAGCAAAACAATACGATGAATCTTCAAACACCATTGCCGCCAAGAATTGACGTTTCTCGCGCAAGTAGTTCATCACACCATGACGATAGTCGCGACAGCACCCCCGAAAGAGAATTATTCGAAGGAACCGATCAAAAAGGAACTAAATTAGGAATTGCTTTCAAAGAAGAAGGTACACTTGACCTCCGATCATCGACCGAAGAACTTGATTATCAAGATTCGTCTGAAAAAGCTCGTATCCAGTACAGACCTCATTCGCCACTTGCTCCAAATGATTCTTTGCAAGGGCATCAACGCAAAGACTCGCAAAGCTCAGAAATTGGATTATTGTCGATCTCTGGAAGAACATCTAGACTGTCGAGTGTTGGAAGTCAATGTTCAGCTCAAAGTCGAATTTCCAACACAAGTCACCTTTCTGTTATTTCTGGTGCTTCAGGACGATCATGCTCGCCACATAAAATGCTTTTAGAAACGTCCTTTTGTGGAAATAAGCAACCGGAAGTTCCACATAGTAATAAAGAAGAAAAAAAAGACTCCGACGAATTGGAAAGAATATTGTTATCTCGGAAACACGATCCACGAGAAGCAATTCTAGCAGAAGGAATAATTATAGAAAAAAAGCGAGAATCTTCTCCTAAAAAGCAGAAAGAACAAAAGAAGGTTAAACCTGACATAAAAATTGACAAACCTGAAATACACGAAAGCAATAACGATTCAACCACACCTAAAATTCCTAAACGAATAGTTTCAGCTAGTGGAGTGGAATACATTTATATTCCACTAAAAGGTCCGCTTCCTGATGAAGATAGTAAGGAAGGTGGTGCCAATACTAAATTACGTGAAATAAATTCAGCAACAACTTCTAGGACAAACGTACAAGTAAAAAATAATGATATTAGAAAAGCAAAATCCGCTTCTGCCTCACCAGCTATTCAAAGATCTACCACTTGTAGTAGTTCCAGAACAAATAAAGAAGAACCTAAGTACATAAGGATTAAGTTAAAACCTGATTATATGTACGACGACGACGGAACAGAAAGAGTTTCAAAAAGTCAGTTAGAAACAGAAATCAAAAAGCCAGTTTATTTGGACATTCACGAAATGAACACGAAGCCTAATGCAATATTATCTGCTCCTATACAAAAGGATGTTAAAGTGGAACTTACTAATTGCACAATTAAAGCCGAAGCTCCTGCGAAAAGTCTTCTGAACTCGACACCTTTATCGAGTCCTGGTATTGTGAGGCATACAAACCTAGGTAGTAAGTCCCCTTCTCCTTCATTATCTCGAAAAAGTTCATTTTCGTTACTTTTCAAGAATAAAGAAAGCGCTATTAGTCCAGATTCACCGACTGGGGTAAATTTCAAACGAAAAAATTGTAAATCCGGAATCTTCAAAGATCCTTCAGAGTCAACCAAAGAACGTAGACGTAGTAGATCAAAGAGTAGAGAACGAGACAAAACCGGTAGTACTTCAACCGCACCATCCTCCACAGAAAGTATCGATACAAAATCCAAACAAAAGTCTGTAATCTCCTTGTTCAAACCCAAAAAATCTACGTCCAAAACCAAATCTGGTACAAATTCTCCGGAAGTAACGTCAAAATCGGAGTGTGTAGCTTACTCCAAACCGTACTATGAAATGCCACTACAAGGAGAAAGTATCCGAATTCCCTTGCATTCTCCAACAGATTCAGATCAAAAGACTGTGGTAAATGAAGCGTTCGAATCGAGCGAATCTTGTAGCGTAGAATCGAAAACAGAACAAACCCGAAACGGCTCATCAGAAAAAATTACTCCTATGGAGCAAGGAAAGCCTATAAGTAAGATAGATAAAAGACAGAGCAGTACAAGTAGTGATAATGTAGTGTTTTCGACTAAATTGGGGAGCAATGAGGAAATATTCTCTACGAAATTACCAAAAGATAAGAGTACATCCAGTAGCAGTAAGAGTAAACAAACGCCGTTGGATAAGTCTAAGTCTAGTATTAGTGACAATACCATTACTTCATCTAATATAAGTAAAGATAGCGTTAAAACTGTTATCGAAAAATCACCTCAACCCCAAGAAACTATCGAAATAGATCCGTTTAAAAAAAGCGTATCCTTAAATGGTGATATATGTAGTAATGAAGAAATCAGGTTTTCGTTAGATGAAGTTCAGACTGTTGTAGTGAAGGAGTCCGTAAAAGATCCTGCCGTAGCTAGCATAAGTAAATTGAAGGAAGAAAAACGAACTGTAACTGAAATAATCAGTTTACCTTCGCAAAGTAGTTCAGCGTCGTCGACAAAAAATGACAACGAACAAACGAATAATGTAAGTACCGTCAAAACTGTCAAAACTATCATAACCAACAATCGTGTTTCTATGATTTCTGGTGACGAAGAAATTTATTCCTCCGAATCGGAAAAGGATTCCGAAGTAGACTACATGAAATCTAAAATGGAAAGTGGTGAAAAATCTGAAACCTTAGAGTCTGAACGACGAGGTTTAGTTTTTCAGCAGGATTCCTATGAAGAAGAACTACCGTATACGCCTACAACCTTGCCTCTTGAACGTTCTGTTGCTCTTCCGATAGTGCCAATCAAACAAAGAGGTAATATCGAGGTTAAAACCTGCTCGATCGATAGACCCAGATCCACCACACCCATAAACTTGTCCTGCTTAGAAACTTTCCGAGAAGAGGCGTTCAATTCGTCTCACGGACTATCAATTCAAGATATTGAGAAAATTAGAATCTCTTTGCCGAAAGAACTCAGCATCGGTACGAAACCAAAATCGCCTCGGAAACCAATTGCTCCACAGACTATTTCGGAATTCTCACAACAAATTCAGTCATCCCCAAAAAACGAACCACCCTCATCCACTGGAGCAATTCCTAAAGAAACGTTTAAAGAGTGGATTAACTTTGAAGATATTCCCGAGAGAAGAAAACCACCAAGAAGAATTCAAACCATACCATCAAAAAATATGGAAATACCGGACTTTTCCGTTCATGAAAATGTCGTTTACACATACGTTAATCCGGAAGACTGTAAATGCGAATGCCACGAAACCACTAGAGAAAGGGACAAAAAACCTAAAAAAGAAGAAGATGCAGAGAAAGTTCAAGAAGATGAAGTTCCCCTTTTGGAAGAAGAACTTGTCGACGAAGAAAAAAGTCTTCCAGAAATACATGATAAATTAAAACAGGAAATTGCCATCGCCGACAGAAGAAGTGTTATAAGGTATTTTATGGTACTTCAAGCGCTTAAAATCTTAAGCATTGTTTTTTTAGCGATTCTTCTGTCGATATCAGTACAAGTTTAGAACCTCACGATGGAAACTGCATGGATCAGTCTTTACGGACTCCTTTCACTAGTGATTTGGGAATTTCAAGTAACAGATCCAGCGTTATATCACAGGTAAATTTAAATATCATTGTCATATCTTCATTTTTCATTTAATTGCAAAGTACGTACAATTCCGAAACTATCAAAAAATTTTTTCGGATAATTTTTAAAATTATCTATTGATTAATTAGGAGCTAAAACTTAGTTTTCACTCCTGTAACATTAAAATGTACGAGATACTGTATTGATTTTGTGGAAATTGTGAATAATTGAAAAAGTTATTCGTCTGTGTGTCGCGCTCAGAATGAAATATGAAGAGTAATGTTATTGATGACTATTAAAACAATCCTAGCCTATTTGTTTATTAATTAATAATGCAGTACAGCGTAGGCGCGATCTGCTGATAATTTGTTGAAATGGCAATTATCGGATTTTCTGTTGCTACTAACAGGTTAGCTTCTGAAGCCTGTTAAAATGATTCATATCCACCAAGGGTCACACGTGGCGCGTGACGTGACGCGTGACGTTACACTTTATACCCTAATCAATTTCCTCCCTACACCGTCGATAAAAAAGTTTCACTTCAAAAATGCTTTCAATAAATAACTGACTTTGTGAATGCCTAAATTAAAGCTGGAAGAGACACTTTTAAGACAAATTTTCTTTAAGACACTAAAGAAAACTTCTTCTTATTAATACCATTTTTAAATTTTCTAAAACGGATTCTTTTTGTTTTCAGGAAGAAGCTGATACTGCCGATAATCCATCAAACGATACATCTCGGAAACGTCCAAAATCCTAACTTACTGGAACCTCTGTAGAGACTTGACGTGATCCAGCAATGGAATTCCCTTTATTCTGCCTGACCAATAAAAAAGTGCATCTTCACATTAATTCTCCTGTTTGCCTCTCACAACGCATCGTGTCTATTCACAAAATATTGTGGAATTGTTAAAGATACCTTGTTACCTGTTACCAGTATTTTTTTATTTAGATTTATTAGATTTGTAAATGTATCTGTCGATTGTATGCAACATACTAATAACGTAAGAAGACACAGTCTTTCGTAACATTTATTATTATCTACCTAATCCATGTAACATCATTTTCATAGTTTTTACATTTTTATATATACTACTATTCCATAACACTTTCGGCCAGCGTATACTGTGTAATCGCTCGCCTTAACTGGTATTTTTTTCCTATAATGTAAATGTAAACTCCTACCGCAATAACATTTTACATACGTGTAAATTGTGATCCTATTTATTAACATTATTATTACTTTCTTTTTAATATAAAAAAGAATGTTGACTAGTTATCAAATTTAAGAATTTATTGTAAATACAGCAACGTTAATAAAGCGAATAAAATACGCTGAATAGTTTTAAATAAATGACAATTAACAAAAAAAGTATGTTTTAATTAATGTAAAATTCAAATTTATTCAGACAAAATGTCAATTATTAATGCGACAGTCTCAAAGGAAACAGAAAAAGGTACACTCAATTAAGAATTTTAAGTAGATTCTATTAACATTTTTATTATTCCTAACTAACGTATCCACTACTATTTTTGAAAAAAACTTCGCATTGTGTTTATTTTGAAATATAAATAAATTAATGTTACAATTTTAATTTCATTTTATGGGTCAATTGCCATATGTTCAAGAGGTCGTTGGCAATCAATAACATAACATTCAATACATTTACGTAAAATTGATTGTTCTCATGATAACTGTTGATGTGTATAGCGACTATAAAACTTGATTTTTGCGATCCCCAATTTAGCCGCCATTTAGAGTGGAATTAGTTTTTTTTTGTAATGTATCTCCTTAATTGCAAAAGTTTGTGCAGACCTTTTTTTAGATACTTTCATTAATACATCTTTCACATAGGTATCATTAGTAATAAAGCTAGTGAACAAAAGACCCTGTCTACAGTTTGACACTATTATTTCTACGCCCTAAACATTTTTTTGAAATTCATTTTTCAAATTTGTCTAATAAAACATTTATTAATAATAATGCTTAATGAATAACAATAATAATGTATTAATGAAAGACAGTTTATTTAATTAAATATAGAAAAATGTATAAATTTTTGGTAAAAGTGCCGTTTACGGCACCTTCCTCAAACTTGACTTCAAATATAATGCTACCAACATAACCTAAATTATCAAAACGTGTAGGAGACATGGAGACAATACAGTAGAACAAGTAACTGTCATATTGGCTATCAAGCAAAAGTAAAACATGAACTGGAAATGATCATAACAATACTCACTTCTTTCAAGTTGTCTTTTCGTACCATAAGTACAGTGTACATACTCAAAAAAATCCTGCTTACCTAAACTGCTCTTTTATGGCCTTTTTCTCCACCATTTAACTAGCCAATATGCTAAATTGATTCATGTACTTTATACAGTTGGTAATACTACGTATTCTACTTTGTATTTACCAGATGGTTTTCGAATGTTTTATGCATTAACAATTGAAGCGACTAAAATTATCAATACATGCGGTGCATATGCTTAAAAAAAATAAATTTTTACGCAGATTACACGGGCTAAGGTTTCCTGTATCGCTTAAATTTACACCCGCGTATTTTGTGATTACACAAATTATGTACATAGAACCGTCAAGGTGCACGTGTTTCATACACCCGTCCAATACCCATACATACATTACGTATTTTTTATTTTAGGAAATATAACGTCAAGGTCATATTGCCCAATGCTGGAAATGCAAACACACGGATAAAAAAATGTATTAAGCAGCTGGTGCAATAAAAAGTCTACTTGCATTGGAGCAATAACAAAACATGAAAAAGAGAAACTATTTTTTTTTGTAAATTCAAGAAATCCTAACAATAATTATCGCATTTTTTTCTCAAATTAGCAATTACGCAATAAATTGTTGTTATTGGTATAATCACTTGAAACACTAATAAACTTAATAAATGAAGTAGTTGTAGAAAAAATTGTCAAATAGTGTATTTAAAATGAAAAATTCACAGAGCGATTTTCATTACTGCAATAGTATTTGGCATAACAGTTAAAAACGAATGTCATTTTTTTCCCTTCGTCCTTTTGAAGGAGTATGAATATGTTTTGAAATCAATTTTACATTAATTGGTTTGGTATAACAACCAATATTGTGTGGAGTGACAGATTTATATTTATAATGTTTACAATCAGGTAATACAAAAAAACTAAACCGCCTCACCACCCTGCATTATTTGCTTCTTCCTGATTTAGGATTCGACTGCCTCCGAGTATTATTCATTCGACTATTGAAACGGTAATTGACCTACTAACCCAGTAAGTAAGTAGGTGTTAGCTTGCAGTTGTAAATAAATAATTTAGATATACCTGCACCTACCAACTGTGTACAAGTCACCTTAATAAATTTATAAATCCTATGTAACAATATGATAGAGTCTTCTATACTCGTTCATGAAGAAGATTTCGGTTTTCAGCTGCAGAGGTTCGTTTCAAAGATATGAGGGCTAAATGACTATCGCCCAAAGGACTCCACATATGTAGAGAGTCAGTAAAGTGTTGAGTTCAGACATCTGGTCAGACAGTTACAGAATGTCACAGATATGTCCTGAATGCCCTACATCTATAGAGTTGTAGAATGCTTTAGAATTTTCTAGAAGGTTCGAGAACGTTCCCGAATGATAACTAATTTTTCCTGAACGAGCTGGTAACCCTACTTGTTATTCATAAAAATTAGTACACACTGATGCATGCTGGATGAAAGGATAAGTCATAAGATAAACTGAAATGTGTTTTAAACTTTGTAAAAAACATTTATTGCACTTACAGAACGCGAGAATGCCCACTAAGTGCCTGCCTGGCTCATTGTTGTAGGCATGCGTTTCTATTGTCATTTTTGACTTAAGTCTCGTTGTTTCACGCGATGACGTCACGGTACAATGTTCTGTTGTATGAGGATGTGGGCTCAGCAGATTTCTCGATTTTCGCCCGTGTTTGCGAAGCACTGAAGCAGGCAGTAAGTTGTTGACCGTATAACGTCGTTGTCAGAGGAAACAATTCATGTTGAGTCAATGTGTAGCTTTCGGCTAAAATACGATAAGTTGCCACCGCGTTAACCGTGGCAATATGTATGTGAATGTGAATTGTTGTTAAAACGAGTAAAGTAAACAAAAAAATAATTGTAAGACAAAACTGCAGACCATCAATCAACATTTCCCAGGTACGAAGAGGTTTCAGTTTCAATATCCAAGTACCTACTTAGTAGTTGTGGTTATTTCTATTAACATAATGTTACCAAATAACGGCAATATTATTGGTTTTCAAAGGATTCGCGCTGAACCTATTTTTTATTTTTAACACAATATAGTAATTAATTTCCGTTCAGTTACTGTTTAAATGAGTCAAGAACCGCTCTAAATGTTTCGTGTAACTAACTGATAATAAAAGTTTCAGTGTCGCCCTTTTTAATATCAGAAAATAAAATTTCACAGAAAAATAAAACGATCCAGAGAAGTGCGTTTGTTTATAATGAGTTCTATTCGGCTTCTTAGTAATAAAGCTAGTGAACAAAAGACCCTGTCTACAGTTTGACACTATTATTTCTACGCCCTAAACATTTTTTTGAAATTCATTTTTCAAATTTGTCTAATAAAACATTTATTAATAATAATGCTTAATGAATAACAATAATAATNGTAACTAACTGATAATAAAAGTTTCAGTGTCGCCCTTTTTAATATCAGAAAATAAAATTTCACAGAAAAATAAAACGATCCAGAGAAGTGCGTTTGTTTATAATGAGTTCTATTCGGCTTCATTTAATAGATGCACCTGTACAATTGTTACAAGTTTTTCAGTTAATTATTTGCAATATATTTTACATATATTTCTACAATTTCAATGTTTTCAAGGTAAACGTAGGTCAGAAACGTGAATATTTTATGTATGCAGTGATGCAGTCTAATCGAAAAAACAGTCTACACTCATCAATATTAAAATTTCGTTACAAATTGTAAAGAAAATAATTTTATTGGCAGTCTTTGTTCATTTATTGGTGCAGTGATAATGTTTTTGTGTGTTAAGGTTGGCTTTGTCTTTGTTACCTTCTAATTGAAAATTATTCGCCCATGTACACAGCGGTTCCTAAAATAGAATTTTTGAACCTTTACAGATAGTTTCAAAGGGGAAAGTATTGATTTTATAAATAGACGATGTGACAAAAGAATTCGAAAGTTGTTGTTTTTCTTTTTCTATACTAAAATTTATTAATTCTCTTCATAACCCACTAGAACAGTGTGACGTCATTTTTCGCTATCTCAGTATAATATGTGCAGCTTGTCGAATTATCATCACAGTAGCAATAAATAAATTCAAAAGTCCAACCTGTGATAATGTAACCTTGATTTAGAAAATCCCCAACTATAAGTATACATATAGGTAAAATTTGTAAAAAGTTTACTCCAGAATTTATGTATCAGTTAAAGTATTTAACATTTAAATGCTACATATTACGTCAGATGTTTGAAACTAATTAGATTTGCTAATTGAATTGCATTTTAATGAGAATGGTAATTACTAAGAATCTAGTTCTTATAAGAAAGTAAAATGAACAACGTTTTTGCATATGAAATATTGGTATACAAGTAAGGCTTCACTGGACATAGAAACTACACATTTCTTATTCAGTATTTTTCCTTTGTATGTCGCACGAGTGAAAATGAATAATATAATGTACGTGTGAAATATTTTTTTTCAGCCACATTTATCTGAAAATATCTCATACCTAACCTAACCGGGCATTTCGTAACGCCCCCTAAAGTTTAAATTGCTTTTATTGGACTATATTA